CTGCAATACTGATACCGTAGTTATGTTGGGTACCATCATTACTTTACTAACAGGTCTGAGAGATAAGCTGTCTAAAAATTTGGTAAATGATAGTATCATGACGGGTAACAAAACTGGAACGCATGGGGCAAACAGGAAAAAGGATATTGACAGGTCGGTTATCGACGGTGCTGTTAACAGCACAGGTGATGATGTGCGGGAACTCAGCACCATCTTAACATCGACTGTCATCGACCACCTCAGTAAACCAGGGTCCCCCAGGGAACAGTCCTTGAATGAGACAGTGGTTCCCAAAAATCCTGTAGGTGGTTGGACTCACGTTAACAGGAGTAATAAAGCTCAAGCGTCCCCGCCGAAACTGAACGTCCCAAGTACCGTGCGGAAATCAATTGATGCTTTGGCCGCACAGTCTACCCTCAAGACTGTCCGCCCGGTCATCAATGAGACCAGGAATAGAAAACGCGCCTCGACATCCAGACAAAAAGATACCAAACATAGACGCCCTGGGAAACCTGGGAAACCAACTACGGTTCGTGACGACTCTGTCATAATCATGAACCTTATTGACAACTCAGACCTTCCTCTCAGTTTGCAGGACAAAAATGGTAGGATGCTCTGGGGAGAATTAAACAAGAGGCTTGAACTCCCTAGATTAGAGCCTTTGACCGTCACACGGCTCACTCGGGGGAAGGACTCCAACCACCTAAACCACCCGAGGCTGCTTCGTGTTACACTTAAGAATGCCTCTAACGTAGAGGACGTCCTGCTAGCCAGTCACTTACTGAAGTCCGATGGGAACGTAAGAATACTCCCCGACATACGTATTCTGAACGAAATCTCATCCGGAACATCCCTAAGGAATCTTGCGAGGCGTTTTTCCGTGGACGAAATATCATTGTGCAAGGTGTACCGGAAAATATGGACCCAACTCAAGCAAACTCTGATATTCGGGAATGGAAGTTCATTAAGCATTCCTTAAAACTCAAGAACATATTGACCCGACAGGTAATGCGACTAGCCAAAAGAGACGGAGACTCTAGGCCCCGGCTGATGAAGATAACCATTCCCCTCCCACATGGCGGCTGCAACTCTGGAAGCATTTCGTGCCAATAGACGTCGGTTGCCAACTGGCATCCATATGCATCCGGATAGGCCCCACGACAGCAGGATCAAGCACAAACGAAAGCTGGGGCTGACAATTCCACTCGTGGACTGTCTTGATCATAAAAAAACGTGTTAAGGATAGGGACTACCAACTCGGTAAACATCATATACGTAGGCTACCTGTCCACTCACACACGGCTCATATAGACAAACAGGAAGTAGCTCACGCGCCTATACACGAACGCCGCGAGCTTGCCAAATAAAATGGACGAGCTACGTAAACTTAGCAACGCTAATGATGCCCATCTGATAGGAAAATCCGAGACGTGGATAACATGTCAGTTTACGGACCAGGAGTTAGCAATAACTGGGATGTCTTTATTTCTCAACGACAGAAAAACAGGAATGGGAGGTGGGGTAGCACTATACATACGGTCATGCCTGGATGCGCACCAACTTCACAACCAAGAGTTTCTCGTTCTTGATGAGTCAGTATGGTGCTCAGTAAGATTGTCTACCACCTCAAGGTGTCTAGTTGGGGTCATTTACAGGAAGCCCACTGCTGACATCGAGTATGACAAACGTCTGCTAGAAGGATTAACTCGATCTACGCGTCTTGGATTCTCTCATATCCTGATTCTAGGGGACTTCAATCTTCCCATAATCAACTTCGTGGAACATACATACATTGGTGGTGCCAACTCTACTGAAGCTCTGTTCTTCAACCTTATCGGTGACCTGGGATTATTTGAAAATGTGAAGTCGACAACCCGTTGGAGAAACAGTTACACGCCGTCGCGCTTAGACTAGGTATTCACAAATGAAGAGTTGCTAGTTGACGACCTCTCAATCCTGGCTCCCCTGGGGAAAAGTGATCACGCCGTCTTATCATTCAGCTTTGTCAGCAAAACGGAGTTACGATATCCTACTAGAAACAAGCGCTGGAACTTCAAACGGTTGAATGTGTTAGCTTTACAGGACTATCTACAACAGGTGGATTGGGATGTTCACCCTCAACTTGAAGTGGATGCTCATTGGGATTTTTTACTGCTCACGATCTTATGTGCTACTGAGCATTCAGTTCCTAAAATGATCCCAGAAAGCTACAAACAACCTCCAATCATCAAGAACCGCACTCGTCGTTTGCTAAGCCGCAAAAGGCACTGTTGGGCTGAATATAAACGAACTGATAACAACGGCGCGTTCAGGCAATACAAACATATAAGGAACATATCCACAAAGGCAATAAGAGAAGACAGGCTTCAGTTCCAGACCAAGCTTATCGATAGATTCGTCTCCAATTCGAAAAGCTTGTTCAGTTACACAGCTTCTCTTCGACAAGGCAAAACTGGAGTTTCCCAACTGCTTGGTCCTAATGGCCCGACCAATAACGACGGTGATGCCGCTAGCCTTTTGGCTGAACAATACTCTCAGACATTTCAGCTGACCCACATCAACGATACTGACGAAAGCTTCACCTGCACCTGTACAGGACTTTCCGAAGTGGACCTGAGTGCTGACCTGGTGCTCCGTAAACTGCAGCACCCAAGAAAAGACACTTCTCCCGGTCCGGATATGGTTCATTCCGCTGTATTGAGGGAAGCAGCTTCAATCCTGGCGACACCACTTAGCGTGATATTTGCACACTCGCTAAGCAGAGGCAAACTACCGGAAATTTGGAAGCTGGCCCACATCACACCAATTTTCAAAGGAGGTCGACGCAGTGAACCCACAAGCTACCGACCAGTGGCCCTTCTCTCCATACCTTCCAAAATTATGGAGTCTCTAATATACGACGGTATACTAGAATAATTATCATCCTCAAAGTTCTTCTCACCTCAACAGCATGGTTTCAGAAAAGGTCATTCTTGTATGACCAACCTGCTAACTGCGGTGGATAGATGGGCAACCATCCTTGATCGCAAGGGGAAGGTTGACGTCATCTACCTGGACTTCTCGAAAGCTTTTGATAGGGTCAACCACGTATGCCTTATCAAGAAGCTTGCACGATTGGGTATAAAACTCCCTTTGATTGATTTGCTCTCTTCATATTTAGAAAACCGACACTTTAAGGTCAGTTTTAACTTCACTCTCTCTCAGGCTATGGAATGTCCTAGTGGGGTCCCCCAGGGTTCAATACTAGGACCTCTTCTCTTCTTGATTTATATTAACGATCTTCCTCAATAAGCTTCATCTGACTTATTGCTTTTTACTGATGATGTGAAACTTTGGAGAGAGATACGTAATCATAATGATATACTAGTTCTTCAGGAGGATCTGACCCGACGTCAAAGTTGGGCAGACGACAACCGTCTTACCTTCAACACCTCAAAGTGCAAGGTAGTCCATCTGAGACATGTCGCAGATTATAGTTATAACTTGGGTAACTCCCCTCTAAAAGTTTCCCAAGTTGAAAAAGATTTAGGAGTGTTGGTACCCTATGACCTGAAATCGTATGCGAACTGTGACAAAAACGCCTCTCAAGCGAACCCTGCAATGGTAACATTGAAGCGCATTTGACCAGCTTGACGGTAGAACCTTCCATATAATCTTCAACAGTTTTATTCGTCCCCATTTAGAGTACGGAAACATAGTATTTCCTCCCTCCCTCCATAAGGACAAGGACACCCTGGAACGTATACGACGTCGAGCCACGAAATCAGTTCGGGGACTCAAATTCAAACCTTATGAAGAGCGCCTCTAATCACTTAACCTTTACCCGTTAGAGTACAGGCGTCTTAGAGGTGATCTTCTTATGACTTACAGTATCCTTAATACTTCTGGTCATCCCCTTAAACATCTTCTTAAGCTTAGTCATAACACTAACCTGAGAGGTAACACCTAGAAATTGGAGACCCTACATAGCAGAACAGACTGCAGATACAACTTCTACTCCGTTAGAGTTGTCAAGTTCTGGAATTCGCTGCCGATTGAGCTAGTCCAAGCGACCTCCCAGGAGTCTTTTAAGAGGAAACTTGACTTATTCTTAAGGACTAAGGATAACATATTATTGTGATTTACCAAATTCTTTTTTCCTCTATTATCGTTAATATACCTAGGTTTTTGCGTGGAAGTATTGGTGATCCACTGCTACCAGACACGGAAGCCCGTTAAGCGAAAGCTTCTTCTATTCCGTCCCCAACCATTTGAACCATTTGAGTATGATCCTGTTGCTCACCTGGTACTCAGCATGGAATATTTTCAGACGGATAACTCAAGACAATAAATCAATAACATAGGCAATAATAAAAAACAGTTCGTTTAGTTGCACATGGAAATGAGCCCACTGACACCAAGATGTTGATATATTTACGAAGTTACTAACATTTTTATGCATTTATCGGCGGTACGAAACGTCAGTCAACAAAACTATTTATAGTAAAAAGAATTAAATACATATATACAAATATCATGAATATACAGTAGTTGAAATGCTGTAGTTCGAAACTTCTTTCCGGACCAGAATTCAAAATCAAGCTATTTAACATTCCAGAGTGAAAAAAGAGTTGATATATTTGAGAAATGGTTGACGAGTTTAGGTATAGGCGATCTAACCTTACGGCTCACTCTGTGATGATTTGGTGCGGATGCTTGACTGTTCGCATTGATCTAGTGTGTCTAATAAAACTGATGAGGTCTCCATCATTATTAGAAGTGTACGGAAGTATTCCGGAGATTTATTCGCTGTTACACATTTAACCTCGCACAAACAATTCTAACAACTCACATGTTTTTTATGGAATACTCACGCTGAAAAGTTCACTCTCTTAGAAGACATATTTTAATTAACTAATCCGTTTCTACTAAAAACATAACCTCAAGGAGTTTTATTTCTTATTGCCAAATGTATCTATTTGTTTATCTAAGGTATTTTATACTATCACGTTACGGAGAGCTTTCAACACAACTATTCTACGTTGCGTAGCTGTCGCCTGATTACTCGATAATGGTAGACATAATGCAGCGTAGCTCGACCAGCAGAGAATTGCTGGATAGACTGGAAGATCATGCAGACTGGGTAATAATTCTTAACTTTCTCTGCTATTCTACGGTCATATTTTTTTACAAATAAGGCTTGTTACAGCACTCCATTGAGTCCTCCTGTTATTCTCAGTTTATATAAATAATTATTTCCAGTACATAACATGGTTCCTACTTTTGATAGTTGTCAGCAAATTTTTGAATAGCATCTCTCTATTCCTATTTCTTAGAAGTCTATCTGACTACGTATAAAATAACTATAAATTTGGTCGAAGTAAGCTAAAATAGTCTGGATTATTTTCGTAATAGACCTCATAATAATTATGTTTCTCTTGAAGTTGCTCATGACCATCTTGTAAACCCGTACGGCCTTCTCGGTACTATATTTACATGGCTAATTCCTCGATTTTCAGTACTTAACTAGGTTTCTAATCAGAGGTCTGATTTTTCCGCCAGTTGATCACTTATATAACTACGATGTAGTCTTAACCAAACTGCATAGCTTTACATCAGTCTGTGAAAGCAATATTATTCTTGTCAATATAGTTCTCCAGTTCGTTATTATCATTCTTTCCTACAAGCTCACTTCGTAGACATTCCATTTAGTTTCATTTCAATATTAGAGACCGATCATTATACATTATAGTAATGGCTTACAAATTGTAATATTTTGACCTCTAAACCTGTTGTCCCAATTCTTGTTGATTAGCTGACACCAAAAATTTAACTGTTCAGAGTAATTTTAAACATTTTCTATTCATACTACTTGAAGGATGGGTCATTCACAAATACCCTGTGTTGAAAGCTCTTACCACATTTCGACGGAATGTTTCTTTTAGCTTGCTTGTGGTGCACGCAACGTTTGTTATCTTGGTCAAACATTGACCCGTTTATTTGTATTCTTATATTTCTCCATAATATAAGTTTCATCATATATTTTGTTGCTTCACCTGGTTTTGTGAATAGAAAACTTTATCTCTTTTATAGTGAATTACATAGCTTACCTAAATTTTAGCTGGATTCTACATGTGTTAATCATTTTAAGAGAAGTTAACCACCTCTTGTCTTTTTGCTTGATGAGTATTCATGGGAAAGTTTATTACATAAGTAAATCTGGTTTTCTTATGTTTCAGTAGGCTAAATCTAGCTTATTAAATCCATTGATTTGATAGTTAGTTAGCCACTAAAGTGAAAGTAATGAAAAAAAAATAGACACATCTCTCGTATTTGTGATAAAAATATGCACTCACTTTGTGTTTTGCGTAATTATGTAGACCTTTTTAGTAAGAACGCTTACATGAAACAGTCTTCTGGACACCTTGAGTAACAGTGCAGTTTCTCTCCCCTAGTGGCTTCTTGACTGGTCTACTTCACCACCTAAATTGATTTTAGGAAACAAAGTAGCTGAGCGTGTTCTCCGACACTTATCTTGGAAGTTCCATCAGCCTTGGTAGGACAGTATCTAACGAGTTTTCTTCACAGATACCATAAGGTCTGTCAATTTTCCTAACTTCCATCACCTCTGGCATAGACAAGATGTCCGTATGCATATTGAGAAACAAGTATATTATTTAGCTATCCATTTTTTACTACCTTATGGTCTATGGAAAGGGGAAACATACGTAAGCTGCAGATTTTCACTCAATGATCTCAAAGCATTTCTTGCTTTTTATGGAACAACCGAGTGAACTGTTCTGAAGTAAGGCATATAGTAATAGATAAATATGGAAAATCGGTTGACTATGTTGTGAGTCTTCATAGATTGGGGCTGCCGGGATGCTGCGTATCCCAGTAAGCCTTCCTTGATATACAGCCCTCGCTAGTGTAAGCGTAAGCTGAAGCAGAGCTAAGGGCGGTCTTAAGTACATGCAATTACAGTCCATCAAGTCATTGGCTGTCGGTCTGAACCGTATTGGTAGATGCACATTATCTTGTCAGGGTCTGTGCGATAACCACTTTTGACTGTAAACGTTGGCCGACATAGCTCAGAATCGATTATTGTTGCATAGTCAGTCAGTCAGCTACAACGTAGGACTAACTGACTGTCGCATAGACCAACTCACTATTAATTTTCAGTTAAATCTTAGGTTCCTATATTTCTTCATGCGTACTTTTTCGTCCCATCTTAAACCATTTGTTTATTGTTTGGTCTTCATGATTGTTACGTAATCATCAGTATTCGTCTCATCTCACTAACAAGTGTCATATCATAAGTTCAAACTGAAACTATATGTTTGAACGTAGGCTGTAGAAAAGCACGTGTCTAATAGCATGATATAAATATTGTAATTGCTCTTCGAAGTAGGTTTAAGAAACCATAACGATCCGAAGATACTATTTAATTGATCTCTTTCCTTCATGGTGTATGAATGAATCTCAAGAGGTTGACCTAATATAATTTTATACTTAACTCAATATGATCATAGGTTTGATGATTTTGAGTTGACGTTTCTTACTGACTTGTAAGAATAATAGGTCATTATTACCAATTCCCAATCCTACACTAAGTCGTCTGTGCTCTTCCATTAACTAATACCGTTACCATATAATTTTCGTGTATTCATAAAGAAGATCCACTTAATGGTCTTGAAATATAAAATCATGATATTTCTGCATCTTATCATATTTCTACTCGTCTAGAGTACTAGTTAATCCATTAAACGTAGTTATTGTCATTGTAACCATCATAAATTGTAACAGAACTTAGGTTTTCCCCATGGTCATTCAGTAATATTTACCTGTAAACAAAAGATTCTTAAGATTGATAACGCTGTAGTATTTACTATTTCCGTGTTTAGATACTTTGTTATCCATTTCACGGTTTGACCACTTCTGTATATTTTATCCCGTAATTTTTACAGCTTATACGAAAAAGTCGACGCTATTTGCCTCATATAGCTAGATTCTGTCTTGTATCTACGTTTATTGAAGATGGTTTTCGACTTTTAACTCAATGGTCTGACCAAGTGGACTATATTCAAGGTGTCTGGGGAACCCATGTCATATTTGCAGCTTTTTTCATTTTATTGAACATATGCTTACAGTTTACTGGAAGTGCTCTTGTTTTGGGTCGTTATCGTGTGAAAATTGGCGTTGGAATTCTTATGTCAACTGTATTAATACAAGTTAGTGTTCACATTGCCATGTTTATTGTGCATGCATAATTAATTCGGGGTCGCATTTCCAGTTTATTGTCGTGCATGTTAATATTGTTTTTTTTGGTATAATTCCTACCATAGAGTTAGTAAGCTACCCAATACTCGAGGTATTATGGTATTGCTAGGTTTCGTTGTGATATTGAAATATTAGGAACTCTACTTTGTTATGTATTTCTGACAATTGTTCTAAAGGCATGAATTTGGCTACCGCTTTCACTACGGGCTTTTTTATCGTACATTTATTGTCTCTTTTGATGAGCTTACCATCCTGTCTTACAGCGTTTTCACTCGATTTATTAAAGTTTTATATATTCGGGCATTATGAATTATTTAGTCAACAACGTTCTAATCTAACAATTTATTGAGGATGTCGAGTAAATGTATTCGAATATATATCAGATTGTTCTGACTAGTCACTTCACAGACACGGAGAGTCCACCTAGGGGAGTTGGAAAACCCTCATTCCAAACAAATTATGTACACGGCCTCCAGTATCCTGAGGGAACGAATGGCGTATGAATCAATCGTTGACCACCGGCTACCACGGGACTGCATCTCCTGACGGTGCTCCACTGCCTTGTGGATCAGATCTTTAGGTCAAAGGCTCCGGGTATGGCACCCTAAGAAAACTACCTGCTTCGGTTTGGGTACCCGGGCAGTATCACAGCCCTCACACAAACCAAATGAGATTTGTATGGCGCATATGTATCTGGTGCTTCCTTGTACCAATATTTATGTGTTGGTCTTAACGACCTGGGAGCGTGACCGCAGTGCCCAAGGGACACCTGCTTGAGGTCAGTCACGCACGACCTTTTTGTGGGTAGTTTTTGTGTTAGCTCCGTTCTTCAAAGGACCTTACCGCCGGAGAAGGAAATCCGTGGGATAAGGCGAGGTGTGCATTTTTAGGGTCGATCTTTTCTAATCCCACTCCTTGTGGGAAGGCAGCATCGCTGTTATGCTGGTTGTCTGAAGGAAACACCTTACTGCCGTTACACCTCTGTACAGTCAGCAGTATGACTTCGCTTTCGGACCTTGGGTTTGCTGCTTTTAGTCTTACCGCTCTTCAACCCACCTGTCTGGCATAGTAGGACCCTGAGGAAAGATTGTTCCAGCCAGTATAGCTCGACTGGTTCACCACGATAGGCAATCCCGACCACCACTTTAAGGTAGCAGCAAAAAGTGGTCACATTTTGATAAATTACTAAGGAGAATTCAGTAAGGATTGTAGTAAGACATGTACTTAGGTTTTTCATCCCAACATCTTAATAAACTCCGAAAAAATGTGTTAATGAAGGTTGTTAAACATCACTGTTGTTATTGGTTCGTTTAAATATTAAATTAAATAGACATTTCCGATGAAGAAATTTTCGCTCTTCCTTCTGAGACTATTAGTAGTAATTGTCATCTTACAATAACTTAATCTAATGATAATCTGGGTTAGAAAGGTTAAGTTTCTGTTGTTTCTATATTTAGTGCAAGATGCTTCAAAAAAACACGCTTTTTCACGTTAATATAAATTCAAAGCTGAAGGTTATTCCTCTCTAAATAAGCAGCTTACACTAAGTTACGAAACGTCGAAAATTACATTTTTCCAAGCACGTATTGATATACTATTATCACCGATGATCTAATAGACGCTTAATTTACTCCAAGCTATCAAGTTAAATCTTGGTATTTTAATGCTCGGTCTAATGGAAAAAAGATAATTCAGTCCTACGTTGTATCTGACTGGCTGAGTTAACTTATTTCAGTTCATATATAGATTAATATATATTCTGCAAACTATTTATTCAGCCTCCAACTTGAATGATAGGTTTTAACTCGTAAACAACCATCTAGTTGCTAGGATTATGTTTCATTTCGAGTTGTTTAGATTTTAGTAAACTTAGTAACTGGTTCAGTCAATCAGGGGCGCCAGATATATATGCACCGCACAAATCTCAGTCAATCAGATATAGATATAGATTGAGATTAGATTTACTAGACAATTATATACGTTTTCTTTATCACGATCAATTAGATAATGATCTAATTAGCATAGATCGTTCTAACTTTAGTTGGGTTCATCATGTTGTGCCAATGAGGTATGTCAACTTGGACCGACGCATATATGTGCCTGGTTCTACGTTGTAGCTGACTGACTGACTTATCGATTAGTGGTTCAGAGATAAAGTTCTTTAGATTATGATAATAGTTAGTTGGATTTTTAAGTTTCGAATGTCATAACGTGTAGTGTCCATAAAATTATAATTTGTTCGGTGAGTGATATGATTGTGTAAATCTCATAAATTTGATGTCAGCACGAACAGCAATGATAATTCCACGTTATGTGATGATATGACATTAATGTAATAATGAGCATATAATTTTTCGAATCATAATGGAACAATCCGCTGGATGGATCAATGAGCAGAGTTGACATGAGGACAAAGTATCGATAAGATAATACGATTTGAGCATGTCCATGTCGTACTGCATAGGCTTCGCTGAGTTTGTTTGTCGAAAGTATGTGGTGCAGAAGTTTCTTCATCAACATAGACTGCTGTGTTAGGTTTGTCGATGAGCAGGTTCACCATTTTTATAGAGAAATGGTGCGTGTTCCAAATGCGGCCCACCATTTTAGTGGGGGCCAACATCTGACTACAATTAGATCGTATGAATGATTGTTGTCAAAATGTGCATCCTGCCTACCCTCATATGTAATAAAAGACTTAATCTGCGTTGATGAATAATGGAGTTAGATAAGTCAAATACGAGAATGGATTTCGAATACATATATTTTGAACAATCATTGAGCTGGACAGGAGTTCAGGGGGATGAAGCGAATAGAAAAGAGTGAAGCAAAAATGATGCACATTGGAGATAGCGGATAAGCCAACTCACTTTAACCAAGCGTTAATCAATATTTATAGTCAGATAAAAATAAATTACAGACATGTGATGAATAAGATAAAAAGTGTACACACATAAGTTCATATAAAAACAGTCAGGGTTGATAAGTGAATAATTAACAAGGTCTAAAAGTGACTCAAGATGGATGGGTAAATTGGCTTGTCTAAAAGCTAGAATAAAGTATATGGGCTTAACACATCAACCGACAGTTTAATCGCTCTCATAGTTTTCAAACACCACAGACTTTTTGACATCAGTCTGATTGTACAAGTCCTAACAAAACCAATTTTTTTAAAACTCCTCAATGTTATTGTGATGTGGGTTACATATATCCACATAAGTAGTATATGACGATGGTCAAGTGTAGAGTGTATTTCAGTAGAAGATCGATGAGGAAAGAACGGAAACGCAAAGCACAGTCAGTATGAAAATGCATGAATAATATTGATATTTTCAGAAGGATTGGTCAAGATTGAGACAAAATGATTGATAATTTGCAATTTAACTGTTTACTGTATGTTTGTCAGATTTTAGTGAGATATTCTGTAATTGTCGTTTCAAATACATTCGATTGTCCCCACTCGTCCTCTTGTTCACTACATTATGATTTCCATTATTCAATTGTATATATAACATCACTAAAATCTCCACAAAACCTGTTCTAACGATGATCATATGCTCATTAGTGACTGGTTCCATGAGGTATTTCCTGGAGTTCTAGTAAGAAGCAGTGACCAGTGGAGTTCAACCAGGTCTGTTGTGAGATATCAACTCACTGAAGACAATGGTGAGATGGTTGCTCAATTTCGTGGATTGGTTGAAGTTAGACATTAACACCGTTGGATGCCGGCTAGCTCAGCGGTCTAGAGGTTAAGCGCTCTGGTGTGAGATTGATAGGTTCTGGGTTGGAATCTCATGAGGCAGGATCGTGGGTGCGCACTGCCGTTGAGGAGTCCCACAATAAGACGAAACTGCCGTCCAGTACTTCCAGGTTTTCCATGATGGTTTAACTTCAATTGACTCATGGTTTCAATTATATACAGTTGTATTCTAACTATCATGTTTACCTGTACTATTGTCTTTTTTTATTTATTTTAGACTATTGGTTATAATATTTGGACAAAAGTATTTTTTATGCGTAATCTATCACTTATTGGTAGTTTATTATTATTATTAGCTGAAGTACAACAAGAAACACGTAGTTTATTAGCTGGTCTACCATCTTCTGGTGAAAATGCACATCGACAATATATTCTACTTGGTGGTAGAATACTTATTATCCTAATGTTTGTAACATTAATACATTTAGGAAGTAGTATATTTTATGTTATACAAGTAAGTAATTATTCTTGTGAAATTATTGTTATTGTTTTATTTTAATTCTATTTAACAAAAAGTTTAATGAAGTCTTACTCACTGCCTTCTCATGGGATTACTGTTGTTTACGAAATCGAAAGGACGAAAAGCGAATGTCCGGCGCTTTAACGGGGTTGGTGGACACGGAAAATTCACCTAGGGGAGGGTTGGAAAACCCTCATTACAAACCAATGGTGATCATGGGCTCTAGTATCTCGAGGGAACAAATGGCGTATGAACCAATTGTTGGTCACCGGCTACCATGGGCCTACATCTCCTGACGGTGCTCCACTGCCTTGTGGATCAGATCTTTAGGTCAAAGGCTCCGGGTGTGGCTCCCTAAGAAAACCACCTGCTTCAGTTTGGACACCTGAGCAGTATCACAGCCCTTACACAAATCAAATGAGATTTGTGTGGCGCATATATATCTGGTTAAAACTAAAGACAAACAGTTTAAACAACATCAGTTGGGAATTTGAATTGGTGTATAAGATTTGTAACCCAAGAAGACGATTGTTTTTGAAATGGTATCCTCTAAGCTTGGTGATCGAATCTTTAAACTTTCGTTGTGTTTCTAGATAACATCAGTATAAACTTTAGTTGAAATTGATCTATCACAATTTCTTCATAAATGACTAGTGGCTTATTCTATCGATCTTGGATTTAAATGTAATGATTAATATAGTTCTGTTATATTCCAATAATCAGTAAAATTATATTTTTGACGTTTCGTCACTTAATGTAAGGTACTTCTTCAGGGTAAATAAATAACCAAAATTTACTCTGAAAAAGTGGTTTACATTATGTCACGAAACGTCAGAAATATAATTTTTCTACTCATTGAGATATAACGAAAATATATTTATTATTAACTGTCTACCCTATGCTCAATTTATTTGAGACTATCAAGTCCAACCTTGGTATTGATACGTATTACAGTTAAATGGTTGTTATTGTTATTACTGACTCTCGTCCTGTCAGTGGGTGAATATTCATTCTCATATTCTTCCTCCTTGACCTCGTGATTGTTTATGACTTTCATAGATGGTTGATTAATCTTTTTTACTGACACTCGAATCCAAGTATCTTCCCATTCTAGCCTCAACATGTTATTTACTCAACCACTAATTAGATATAGCTACAAATTTGTTCAACTATTGAGTTCACAATATCAATAACAAGGTAATTCAAATCTGTGCTAATAACGTGGCACAAATCCATGAAGTCACTGAGCCATGTTGGTAGACGTAGGTGTAGACTACCTGGTTGGGATTCGCGAGATGCTAACAACCGATGGTTAGAGACATGGCTCAAAATTGTTTGCAATGGAGAAGGTGCGTCCACTCTTTGTGTTCTACCAAATTCGAATCTTCTGAATTCTCCATGTCTCTATCTTTTTTTCTCTTTCCAAATGTATTTCAGTGGATTATACCCACTAAATAACATCTTCAAGCCCTAATCTTTCACATACTGCTTATACTTTTACTACTTCTACCACTATGGGATTTGAATCGACAACTGTATCTCTGTGATAATGTGGTATGGCAACTCGAACTGATGTACGTACGTACATACGAAGTTCTAAGTTGTGATTGACTGACATGATACTTCAGCTATTTCGTATATGTTGCAATCTGTCAAATGGTTGTAATTTAATTTTTCATA